GGCACAGCTTGGACCCCTCTTCCCCTCCTCCTACGGGTGCAGTGAGCTCCTGGAGCAGCACCCTTGGCCTCAGCACCCACCGGCATCCCCTTCACCCGCACCCAACGCACCCAGCGCGCACTGCAGGGGCAGTGATGGTTTCTTCCCATTGAAACCCTGCTGCCTCGGCAGGAAAAGTGAGCAGGGAGCACTGGTACCCCGAGAGCTGCTGGCCATGGGCAGCCCTGGTGCCGCTCCAGAGGGCAGGGGTCAGACCCTTGCCGGTGATGATTTTCCCTTGCTTTTGGAGGAGCGGTGCTGCAAGGGGCCGGATTTCTGGGATTTCTCCATCATTAAAATGTAAATGAAAACAGACACGAAAACAATCTGAATTTCCAGCCGAGCCGCTCTTGCTTAATATTCTACCCCGAAGGGGGATGTGCGGAAGCAACAACATTTCAAAGGGAATCATTAAAGAAGGCAGGCTCAAACTGCGTTTTCATCAGATACCGTGGCAGAGCCGAGCACTTGGGGTCTCGCCCATCCCAGCGCTGCTGGAAAGGATGAGCAGGAACGGCTCTGGGAAACAGCAATGTCCAAGCTGGGGCTGTGCTGGGCTGTGCTGGGGTTGTACTGGGCTGTGCTGGGCTGTGCTGGGGCTGTACTGGGCTGTACTGGGCTGTGCTGGGCTGTGCTGGGCTGTGCTGGGGTTGTGCTGGGGCTGTGCTGGGTTGTGCTGGGCTGTGCTGGGGCTGTGCTGGGGCTGTGCTGGATTGTACTGAGCTGTGCTGGGGCTGTGCTGGGTTGTACTGAGCTGTACTGGGCTGTGCTGGGCTGTGCTGGGCTGTGCTGGGCTGTGCTGGGCTGTACTGGGTTGTGCTGGGTTGTGCTGGGCTGTGCTGGGCTGTGCTGGGGCTGTGCTGGGCTGTACTGGGCTGTGCTGGGTTGTGCTGGGTTGTGCTGGGGCTATGCTGAGCTGTACTGGTTTGTGCTGGGCTGCCTGGCTGGAGGGGTCATGTCCCGGTGCAGCCTGGCTCTGGCTTGGGCAGTGCAGCCCCAGTGCAAGAGCTGCGGCCATGTATGGAGGGGGGGATCCTGCCCCTCTGCTGTGCGCTGGAGGGGAGCCCCCCTGAGCCCTGCTCCAGCTCTGGGGACCCCAACACCAGAGGGACCTGGAGCTGTTGGAGCGAGGCCAGAGGAGGCCATGGGGATGCTGCGAGGGCTGGAGCAGCTCTGCTCTGGAGCCAGGCTGAGAGAGCTGGGCTGGGGCAGCCTGGAGAAGAGAAGGCTCCTGAAGGGGAGACCTGAGAGCAGCTCCAGTGCCTAAAGGGGCTGCAGGAAACCTGGAGAGGGGCTTGGGACAAGGGATGTAGGGACAGGGCAAGGGGAATGGCTTGAACCTGCCCGAGGGGAGACTGAGCTGAGCTCTTAGGCAGAAGCTCTTCCCTGTGAGGGTGCTGAGGCGCTGGCACAGGGTGCCCAGAGAAGCTGTGGCTGCCCCATCCCTGGCAGTGCTCAAGGCCAGGTTGGACACAGGGGCTTGGAGCAAGCTGCTCCAGTGGAAGGGGTCCCTGCCCATGGCAGGGGTTGGAGCTGGGTGAGCTCTAAGGTCCCTTCAACATAAACCCTTCTGTGAATGAACCCCCACAGTGAATTCCCCATTCCCAGTTCCCTGTTGCCTCCCATGTCCGTGCTTCTCAGCTGTCTGGACCAGGCTGTGCTGCTCCATGCCAGGTAAGGAGCTGCATGGAAAAGGGTCCTGGATGCTGCAGCCGGACAGAGCCCCCCTGCACCCTCCTCCCTCCCGGACCTCCCAGGTATGGGTCCTATAGGTGCTGAGATCATCTCCCTGGGCAGCCTCCCTCCATGCACGGGGAGCAGTGGGGAGGGACGGTGGCAGTGGTGGGACCAGGGTGCAGAGCCTGAGTGCAGCGCTTGGGGTGAGCAGAGCAGCCCTGGCCAAGCTCCCTCTGCCAGTCAGGACCAAAGGAAATCCCTTTTCCCCCTGCAAAGCCAACAGAGGGATCTGGAAGTCTCCAAGACACAATAAACAGGAGATCCGGGGATGCTTTAAGCGTGTCCTGTCTCTGGATGTTAATGGCCTGAGATGATTCATTTTCTTTTGTGCTTTGATGGTATCAGTTATCATTCGATTTTATTTTTAAAGCCTTTTTTTTAAGCCCACAGAACACTGGAAGGGGTTAGGGTGGATTCCCATTACAAGGTAAAACATTTCCCCCCAAAGCTTCATAAAGACTCCATTTCTTTCTTTAAAAGCTATTATTTTAACTTTCCCAGAAAGGCAGCATTTGCCAAATCTTGCTTTGCGCAGTAAAACCAGCCCAGTGTTACTGGGATTTAATGGCATAACAGCAATAAACTCAGAGGAGACCTTAAAAACAAAGGGCCCTGTCTGCCCTGCGGGGAAATTCCACCTCGCATGCCCCCGGGTCCAGAGGCAAAGCAATCACATGCAAGCCCCAGCCCCAGTGTGGCTCCCCACTTCTGCTGGGACAGTGGCCTCATCCAGACCCCACTGGCAATGCCCAGTCTGCCCAGCAGACCCGGGTGAGGTTTGGATCCAGAGCATCTCCCCTGAGAGCCCTGCTATCCATCCGCAGGATATAAATCCAACCCCTTGTTTGTGGAGGCTTGGAAATACAGAGGACAGAGACGTTCTTGGTGTCATCCTCAGGTACATCCCTATCCCAGCCCCGAGCTGGTGCCTGTCCAATGCACCCATCCCAAAGGTTCCGGATCCGCAGAGGGAGCTGAGCACTGGAGCTGCCCTGGACTGTGAGTGCCCCATGGGGCAGAGCAAGGCCCTGCCTGTTTGTGTCTCCATTGCTCTTTCCCCCTGCAGCTGGTCGGGTTTTTAATGAATTCCCAAATCTCATTTGGGACCCAGAGCCGGGGTTGGAAACCCCCTCAGTGTGAGGCTGATTCTGCACATCAGCACTGGCCACCTCCAAGCAGCTCTGGGGGCATGAGCATCCCAACACCCGAGGAGGAAGCCTCCTGCTTGCAGAGCAGAGCCGCCCCTTTGATGCTCTCCCGCAGTTGTTCTTTCATTCCTTGAGCAAACAACCGGGTTTCCACAATATTTACCTTGGAAACGATCATTGTGCAAAGCGTTCGACCAAGATCAACAGAGACCCCCTCGGGCTCTGCGCGGGGCTGCGAGCTCTCACGTTCCCCTAAAGCTGCCGGAGCGTGCTCACGGGCACTGGGAAATGGGGCTTGGAGCTGAGCACGAAGCCACTGAGGGCTGGGGACAAACCTTCGGGCAGCCCCAGCTGCAGGGCACGTGTAAGGACAGGGAAATGCCAGCACTCGGCCCTCCAGGAACTGCCAGCCCAGCCCCTGCGCCTGTAGGAGCGGCTATGGCACCCCTGAAGCCCCACAGCTTCCCAGGCTGTTAAAGGAGAAGCAGGGAAGGGGGGTGGGAAGGTGAAGGAAGGTTCAAAGGCCTGCTGCAGCTCTGGGTTTTTCATCTCTCGTTAATCTCTGCAAGGCCTGAGGCAAAGTCACCTTTGGGTCAATACTCAGGTGTTTTTATCTGCCATCCCCATCTGCCCTCAGCTGCTCCCCATCCCATCCCATCCCATCCCATCCCATCCCACCCCATCCCGTCCCATCCCATCCCTCCCAATTAGCGGGTCACAGGGCAGGGTGTTCATGAGCCTGGGGAATCTGGTCCCCCCCCCAGTTCGAGCCATACTCTCCCACTGTTAGAGGGTCAATCCTGCACCCAGGACTGCTGTGTGCCCAGGGATGCAGGGATGGGAGGAGGGTGCCAGGACGTGTGCGTGACCCATGCTCTGCGCGCTCCATGCTGAGCATGCATGGACCCACTGCATGCCCGTGGAGGGAAAGCAGGGGACATAAAGGAACAAATCCACCCAGGGCTCAGCTCCTTCACCTCCAAGGCTTTTATTGAGGTGTGCAACATGCCCACGAACACACGCTTGGGATAACACAACACAGGCAGCAGGCACTGGATACGAGCAAGCGGTGAGGGTGCGATGCTGCCGGACTCCTCTGGTCCCCAGCACAGGTCTCTTTGAGCCCAGGCTACCCCTTGCCACCGCCACGTCCCTTCTGGAAGCAGAGTTGTGCAGATCTCAACTTACCCACAGGCTCGGGCAGCAGCAGAGCCCGGCCATGCCCTGCTGTGGGATGCAGAAGGCTCGGTGCAGCCCTGGCCCTACCGGTCACAGCCGGGCCATGGCCATTTCTTTGTGGTGCAGCAGCATCTCGTGGCCGGTGGAAGCCGGGACCCTGTCCCGGTGAGGATGCAGCCGCCCCTCAGCTCCACTGCGAGGGCAGGAAGAGGTTTGGGACCTCAGCAATTCCTCATCACCTCCTTTTGCAGGTGAGAAACAAAATCAGTGCCTGGCTTTGCACTGGGGCTGCAGGCGGGAGCACAGTCCCCTCCATGCAGTGAAACCACCCCACTGCTGCCCCATCCACTTCAGCAACTTAAACAGAATGCATATCCCACTAACAGTTAAACCCAGCAAACCCAGCACCTCCACTGCAATCTCCAGCTCTTTGTATTCTGTACGCAGTCCTCGCTGGGTCAAATGCAAACTAGAAATGGATTCTCTTTGCTTGCTAATGATAAATTAATACAAACACCAACAGCACAAGTTTGTAAGCAGTTTCCTGACCATGCACGGTGTTAAAGCATCTCCCACAACAGAGAGATGTGCACCTACACACTGCCTGTAAGGACAGATCGAAACTCACTCCTCTCTAACACTGGATCAGACCAAAAGAACACTGGATTTGAACCCAGCATCCTGAGGTCACTTTTCAGAACCAGTTTGGGTTTTTCTCCATCTCTCTGCAGGAGTTCAGATCTCATCTGCAAAGCTTTCACACGTGCTTCATTAACCAGTGCAACAGCACAGGAGACCCTGCCCACAGCACACCACTGTTTCGGTACATGCACGCTGGTGTGAGTGTGATGAGGGGACAGTGAGCTTGTGCTGGTGGCTGAGCACATGCGGAGCTCTCTGCACAGGTACATTGAAAAGCTCTGCTGCCCTGAAGCCCTCGAGGTGACACCGCATGGGGCTCACTGCAGGGCCCGTCCCAGCACACGTCCTGGGCTCATACAAGGGACCACAAATGAGATGTAAAAGATGAGCCTCATCGTGCTGGGCTCAGCAAACCCCAAGGTCCTGAGGTCCAAGCCACGCGGTCCCCAGACCAGCAGGACACGGAGCAGAAGGAAATGGATTCCCATGAGAGGGAACGTTTGAGGATGCTCAGCTACACTGGAGAGAGATGGGAAGGACAAGGGGGATGCCCTGGTGCCCAGCAGCACCCCCCACTGGCATGCAGCATGGAGATGCCACCAGCCAGGAGGGCACCAGTGGCACCTCATGGGCTGGCGGCGGCGGCGCTGGCGGGGCACACGGGGCCGTGCTGCATGCAGCGGATGAGCTCCTTGCGGTTATCCAGGATGGTGTCGAAACTCTCCTGCAACCGGTTCTGCTGGTCCACCACCTTCTGCTGGAGGCCGTGGATCCAGCGCAGCAGGGCCAGGCGCCGGTACATCACCAGCTGGATGTGGTGCTTCTCCTTCTCCCGCTCCTTGAAGCGCTCCTTGTCCTGGAGGTGCTGCACGGCCGCTGCCAGCACCGGGAAGAGGGTCCCTGGCTCAGGCTCGGACACCCCTGCGGGTGGTGGGCTCCTGGGGATGGGGACAGAGGTAGGAGGGTCCCAAGTGCTCCCGCAGGCGCTGTCGGGGCTGTCGATGCTGAGGGAGCTGCTCCCGTAGCCATTGTCCTCCACGGGGGAGCTCGGGCACTTCCCATAGCCCCCGCCTGCCTCCGCGCTGCCAGCGCTCTGCCCCCCGGCCCCACCGACCTCCGCTCCCTCGGGGGGGCTGCGCACCCCCTGCTCGGGGGGCTGCGGCCGCTCGGGGCCCAGGCTCAGGGGGGTGTCCCCCGGCCGGCCCCGTGCCCTCTGTCTCTGCATCAATAACAGCACATTATCCGATGGATCTGCCGCGTTCCCGCTCCGCCTGGAGCTCTCCTCCGCCGCTGCCCGGCTCCAGTTCTCGTTGCTGTCACACACCTCTCCCACGAAGTTGGAATTGGAATCCTGGCCATGCCCGGCCCCGGGGGTGGCCGTGTCCAGCGCTGGGCCCCCCCGGCCCTGCCGGAACGGGGCATTGGCCGCAGGGCAGACAGCAAACATCTCGCTGGTGTCCTGCCTGCAAGAGAGATGCGGGGCCATAACACGCCTGGGGGTACCCGGGCTGGCACAGCCAGCGCTGACCGCCTGCAGGAGCAGTATTCTCTTTCTTTGCCTCTCTGAATGCTGCTGAACCCAAGTCGGGCTGATCCCTTCCTGGCGTTTGGCTGCTGCTCTCAATGTGTCCCCAGGCAACGGCATCCAGATGTGACTTCTCACCGGATGCTAAAGCCTGAGGCGGGGACCCATCCACCCATCTCTCCTCCAGCCAAAACTCGGGCTTCCACGGCTTCCCTCGGTGCCTGTCTGAGGGCACTGCCAGCACACTCTGCTCCAGCAACATCTGAGTCCAACCTGGCCTTGAGCACTGCCAGGGATGGGGCAGCCACAGCTTCTCTGGGCACCCTGTGCCAGCGCCTCAGCACCCTCACAGGGAAGAGCTTCTGCCTAAGAGCTCAGCTCAGTCTCCCCTCGGGCAGGTTCAAGCCATTCCCCTTGCCCTGTCCCTACAGGCCCTTGTCCCAAGCCCCTCTCCAGGTTTCCTGCAGCCCCTTTAGGCACTGGAACTGCTCTAAGGTCTCCCCTTCAGGAGCCTTCTCTTCCCCAGGCTGCCCCAGCCCAGCTCTCAGCCTGTCGGACGGGATGCGCAGAGGCACCGGGGCACGGTACAAACCCGGCCCCATCCCCTCCGCCCTGCACCCCACGGCCGGGTTTGGGGCACACGCTGCGGCGTGCACGGAGCCCAGCCCAGGCGCACCCAGCCCTGGCACCGCTGTTTGCAAGGATGGCACCGGCGGGAGGATGGCGAGAACCGGGGGGGGGGGCTGATCCCACGGACACGGGCACCGTCACCTGCGCTGCCCAGGGCTGGGGGCACCGCTTCTACCCCCGGGGATGGGGGGGGAACCCTGCACCCGCCCCCGCCCCGCGCCCCCGCGCCCGGCTCCATCCGCCCCGCCCAGCACTCACCGGGGCTCGGTTCGCTGCTGCCGCCGCCGCCGCCGCCGCGGGTGGGAGCGGAAGCGGCCCCGCGTGGGGACGCGTCACGGCCGCACTTCCGACGGCGCCCGCGGCCCCCCTCTGGCCACGTTGAGGGGCGGGGGGGGGGGGGGAACGGGGCTGCGGGCACCGCATGGGAGCATCCGTGCGCGCCCGCGGCATCCCGTGGGAAGCAGCCCTGGTGCGTGCTTGGAACGGGAGAGCCGCAGAGGTTCGGTTCTGCAGGGGGCCATGGATGGGGGCCATGGATGGAGCCCCCCGACCCCCCCCATGCTCTGGGTGTGTGGGTGCATCATGTCACGGCCGGGACACCCGGGTGTTGGCATCCCTTGGGTACCGCGTCCGGTTGGTCCCGTGACCCTCAGCTGGTCCCCGGGAGGACGAGGGGGGGGCGCTGGGTGCTCAGTGGGGCCTTTATTCCCAGAGCCGGGGTGTCCGGACGCTGGGAAAGGGGAAGGCTCAGCGACATCAAAGGGTTCCCGTGGGGGTCACATGAAGCCCCATGAGCGCTGCAGGGGATAACGGGGCTTTGTCTGGCCCGGGTGTGTGTGTTGGGGGGCATGCAGCAGAAGGCGGTGAGATCGGTGGGAGCCGGGGGGGGGGCAGCCGGGGTGCTGCGGACTCCCTCCGTTACCCAGAGCTGCATCCAGCAGCGATGATCTCACCCCCTGCTTGGTCCACCCCGTGTGGCCTTCACCAGCATCCCTCTGAGGGGAGCACAGCGCCGTCATCCCAAGGGCTCTGCAGACCGAGGCCACCCCATCCAAAGCCAAGGGCTCAGCATCTCCCACCCACCCCGAGAGGGAGGAGAGGGCATGAAGGTGCTTTCAGGGTGCACAAAGATGCTCTCTGAAGCTCTGGATTGTTGGAGATGGGATTGGGGTTGAAGCACAACAAGCTGATATTCCTCCGTGATGTTTTAAGGGTTCAGAGCAGTGGAATAATGCTAATAAGTGATAAATAGGTTCTTTTAACTTCCCATCTGCCTGGCAGGCCCCTAGGCAGCCTCTCCTGCTCTGGGCTGCTCCAGCCTCAAAGGCTTCAACACCTCCATCAAGGAGAGATCGGTGGGGCAGGAACAAGAGCTGTAACTGGGGCACTTGGGCTGCAGCCCTCCTAGGGAAGCCTGAGATTAAAGGAACAAAACCTCCCTGCCACACCGGAAAGGCAGAACCCGGCTCAGACGTGTCTGTGAATGGGCAGGAAAGAATCTGGGCAAACAATGGGCTCAGCTTTGCCCTGAGCTGAGCGGTTGCTGCTTGGTGCCGGTTTGTGGCCTGATCTCAAAGCAAAGCAAAGCAGAACAGCCCTCGCTGAGAGCAAGGAGGAAGGATCCATCCATTCAGGGACCTTCCCCAGCTGGCTGGGAGAGGCAGGTCTGACACGGGCCCGTTTCATCAGGGACTTCAACAGGCGAACCAAAACTGGAGCCTGGCTCCTGGGGTTTGCTCCTCTCTCAGCTTTACCCAGCCCCAGGGATGCTGCGTGCGGATGGGCAGGAGCCTGCTCCAGCCTGCATTGGCTCCGGCTCCGCTGGTGCTGGGGGGAGCCTCCCCCAAGCCATGGCAGGAGCCGGGTTGGTGCCAGGGTCAGGGAGGGATCCAGGAGCAGCGTTCACAGGGGTCTGTCTCGCTGGCCTTGGTTTTACTGGTGCAGCTCAGGTTCTGGCCAGCACCCCCAGACTGGGATTGGATGGAGACCAGAGGGGTTTGCTGCTCCCAGTGAAAACAGCTCCGGTTCCCTGCGAGCCAGCTGCCCCATGGACACTGCCAGGGGGGACGGCTGTGGGGAGCCCCAACTTACGGTGCAGGACAGAGGGGACATGGGGACGGTGGGGCTGATCCCTTTGCGGGCAGGAGGAGGGGGAAAGTTTGGAGGTAGAGGAGCTTAGTGATGGATTTCAGAGTCCTCTTCCCCTCCCCTTTCCTTCCCCTGCTTTGTTCCAGAAATAAATCAAAAGCTCTCCCTCCAGGAAATTAAAGATCATTTGAGCAGACTGAGGCAGGACCTGGGGCTCCAGGCCTGGATCCTGGGCGAGACGAGCACCGCGCACCCCGGGGCTCAGCAGGGTCCAGGCTGACCCCCCCCGGAGCCAGTCCAGAAGGCCCCAGGCTTCCGCACCAGATCGGGTCCCTGGCACCCTCCCCTTGGGTTTTTGTCCTCGCTGCACCCGTGCTCAAAGAGTTAAGGGTGAAGCCCTGCACTGAGAGGAAGCGCCACAAGACAGAAGTGCCCTGCAGCGCAGGCGGCCTCCCCAGCGGCTCAGCTGAGTCCAATAAGGGAGGAGGGAAAGCTCCCCAAAAGCTCCCAGAGAAATGAAAGCAAACAGCGGGCTGACCCCAGCGCTGCTGCCCCGCCGCTGACTCCCCTCTAATTGTGAACACATTCGGGTAAAGGCAAAGGGGGGGCATGAAGGAGCGGGCCAGGGAGCTGGTGGCTGGGTGGGAGCAGCACTGGGTCAGCTGGGTGAAGACGTGGCCATCGGGGATGCTGATGGAGGACGGATGGGAGCAGGGTTCGTGGCCGTGGCACATCATGAGCAGGTGCTCCTGGTGGGAACAGGAGCCACTGGGACCATTGCATTGCAGGGTTGGGGCTGAAAGCCTCATGTCAGGAGCGCTGGCAGGTCTTCCTGATGGAGAGGGGAGGATGCTCTGAAGGGTTTGTCCTCTTGGCCTCACTACGTTTAAAAATAGTGCTCTTATATTCATAGATCTTGGTCATCTTTGGAGGCTGAGGAAAAGGAAAGCATCCCCAGGCTGTGCAAGTGCTCCTGCTCCTCTCCAGGGATGGCTGGCAAAGGCACTGCCTTTGAAGTGGGAAGCAGGAGCTGAGCATCACTGCCAGCCTGGCTCTATTCCACCTTCATCCCTGCCCCATCCCATCATGGGGTGCCCTCACATGCAGTATCCCATCGTCTGCATTTCCCACAGGTTCTGCAGCCCCAGGACCTGGTCTGGTCCCTGCTCTACCTGTAAAACAAATTATATTTCAATCTGAATCAAAGGCAGTCGCAGATGCACTGGATTTGGTGAAAAATGCCAGGAATCTGCAGCCAGATTGGATTTCAGAGGAACCGGGAATGCTGCAGACTGTTCCCACAGGACTGGAGGTCAGAGCCTGCACCCCTCAGGATCAGCCCTTGGGATGCACCAGGGGAGGAAGAGGAGGAAGGGATGGGGAGCCCAGCAGGGAGGTGAGGGAGGGATGAGCCATTGGGGATGGTGACAGAGCCCCATCACCCGGGGCTGGATTGACCCCATCACCGAGCCTGTGCTGGGGAGCAGCCTCCTTCCTCTTGGCTTTCCCCACCTCCCCAAAAAGGGGTTTATCTTGTCCAGGAGGATGTGCTCTGCCAGGAGAGTGGAGCTGCTGTCCTGCAGGCATTGCCTCTGGGGTTCATCCACCGCTGAGCTACCAGAGGGGAATATCGATGCCAACTCCAGCTTCCATCAGAGCAGGGCCCAAGAATTCACCATTTCCTCTTGGGCTGTGAATCACTGATGAACCCCCGACAGAAAGGTCTGGTTAGGAAATCGTCTGGGAATCAGAGAGGAAGGGGGAAGGACAGGAGCTCACTGCCTCGGGGGCGGCTTTGCCCATGGAGTCACTTCCTGGGCCTGCAGGACCCTGCCTCTGGGTCCCTGTGGTTGCTCTGGCCATGGGCCACATCCCCAGCCCAGGGCAGGGGCTCCAAGCTGGCAAATCATAGGGTCATGGAATGGTTTGGGTTGGAAGGAGCTAAAAGCTCCTCCAGCTCCAACCCCTGCCACAGGCAGGGACCCCTTTCACTGGAGCAGCTTGCTCCAAGCCGCTGTGTCCATCCTGGCCTTGAGCACTGCCAGGGATGGGGCAACGCTTCCACTACTATAATAATAAATAATCCAAATAATAATATAATAAGTAATACAATAATAATATACTAAAGGCAGAAACACCCACGAATTACAGACTATGGCTCAGTGTGTGCTTGGGTGTGCTGTTGCCCTCACCAAAACCTAACCATTTCAAGCAAAACAAGCCACTGCAACGAGCCTCCCCTTAGGAAGGGCTGGTGTGAGTAATTTGGAAGGGGCTGATGTATTGAATTCAAAAGGGCTGGTGGAACAGGACCTACACAGCAAACAATCCGTGCCAGCATGGTCCGTGTCCCGTGCCGGTCCCCAGCCACTGCCTCCTGCAGCACAGACCTCTTGGCAGTGATGGGACCATCCCTGTGGATGGAAGGATGGAACAGTCACGGCAGCACAGCCTCCTGCACCCCAACTGCTGCACACTTGTCCTGAAAGAGAAGAGCTCCGCATTTGGACCTCATAATGCAG